TTAGTTCCTCTTTGAATGATTTGTAGAATTCACCAGTAAAGCTCTCAGGTTCTGGACTTTTTCTTGATGGGAGACTTTTGATTACTGCTTCAATCTCATTGCTTCTTTATGGATCTGTTCAGGTTGTCTGTATCTTCTTAATTAATGTTGGTAGGTTATATGTATCCAGGAATTTATCCATTGAGGTTTTTTCCAGTTTAGTTTTTAAATATTTATTTTCACTTAGAAACCTTTTATTTATTTTTTAAAGATTTATTTTATCTGAAAAGCAGAATTACAGAGAGGTAGAGACAGAGAGGTCCTCCATCTGCTGGTTCACTCCCCAGATGGCTGCTACGGTTGGAGTAGCGCCAATCCGAAGCCAGGAGCCAGGAGCCTCCTCTGGGTCTCCCACGTGGGTGCAGGGGCCCAAGGACTTGGGCCATCCTCTACTGCTTTCTCAGGCCACAGCAGAGAACTGGATCAGAAGAGGAGCAGCGGGAACTCAAACTGGAGTTCATATGAAAATCCGGCGCTTCAGCCCAGGGCTTTAACCCACTGTGCCACAGTGCCGGCCCCAGAAGCCTTTTTATTTATTTGTTTGTTTATTTATTTATGTTCATGTTGCGGACTGGCTCTTTATTTGACAAATTCGGCAGCTATGGAAAGAATCCCTGTCCAGAAGCATTTGTGCGATTGATATTTCCGTTTTGGCTCTGGCCCAGCTGCAAGAAAACTTTTATTTAATATAAACTTTATGCATTTCACACAGGCAAACTTAGGAGCATACTGATTTGATGGTATCGGCTTGTAGAGTTAGGTCTTTGATCCATTTTGAGTGGATTTTTGTGTAAGGTGTAAGGCAGGGATCTTATTTCATACTTCTGTGTGTGGAGATCCAGTTCCGTTTGTTGAAGAGTCTGTTCTTAGGGGATTGACTTAGTTCCTTTGACAAAAATTAGTTGGTTGTAGATGTGGATTAATTTCTGAAGTTTCTGTTCAATTAGATTGGTTTACATGTCTATTTTTTGTGATAGTAGTAAGCTGTTTTAACTGTCCTGTAGTATATCTTAAACTCTGCTATTGTGATGCCTCTGGCTTTGTTTTTGTTGTTTAAGATTGCCTTTCAAATAAAATAAATTTGTTGTTTAAGATTGCTTTAGCTGTTTGGAGTCCTGTGTTTCCATATGAATTTGGGCATTGTTTTTTCTAGATCTGAGAAGAATGTTATTCTATTTTGATTGGGATCACATTGAATCTGTAAATTGCTTGAGTAATCTGGACTTTTTAAGCTTTTATTTGATAAATATAAATTTCCAAAGTACAGCTTATGGATTACAGTGGCTTTTTCCCTCCCATAACTTCCCTCCACCTGCAACCCTCCCATCTCCCACTCCCTCTCCCATTCCATTCACATATAGATTTATGTTCAATTATCTTTAAATACAGAATGCTAATTTAGTATATATTAAGTAAAGATTTCAACAGTTTGCACACGCACAGGAATACAAAGTGTAAAGTACTGTTTGAGTACTAGTTACAGCATTAATTCACATTGTACAACACGTAATGTGGACATTTTGATGATATTCTTCCAATCCATTCACATGGGATATTTTCCCAATTTTTTGTCTCTTACATTTCTTTCTTTAATGTTTTATAATTTTCATTGTAGAGAATTTATTCCAAGATGTTTAAATATTTTTGTAGCTGCTATGAATAGTACTGATCTTGCAAGTTCTTTCTTGGCCATGGCAATGTCTGTATATACAAAGGCTATTGGTTTTTGTGTGTTGATTTTATATCCTGCAAGTGTTCCAAACTCTTATGAATTTCAATGGTCTGTTAGTGGAGTCTTTTGGTTTTCCCATATATGGAAACAAGGATAATTTGACTTCTAGTTTGTAATAATTCTTGATTATTTTTATTTCCATAGTACCCATTGTAACATTTCATTTTTCATCTCTGATTTTATTAATTTGGGTCCCCCCTTTTTTGGTTAGTAGGGCCAATTATATATCACTTTTCTTTATTTTTTCAAAAAAGCAGCTCTTCACTTCCCTGATCTTTTGTATCTGTTTTATTTCAATTTTGTTTATTCTCTAATTTCTTCTAATGTTGTGTTTGGTTCTTGTTTTTCTAGGTTCTTGAGATGTGAGGGACAGGGAGGGGAGGCAGGGATAGGAGAGAAGGGGAGGGGAGAGGGGTGAAGAGAGGGAAGAGGGGAGCGGTGGGAGAGGGAGGTCTTCTATCCTTCTATCCACTGGTTCACTGCCCAGATGGCTGCATGGCCGGAGCTGCTCTGCTCACTAAAAAGGCCTTCTAATCCATTTTCTCTCTCTCTACACCTTCAAGAACTCCTAAGACTGATATGTTGTGTTATTTGATAGTATCCCATAGATCACCAACACTGTTAGTTTTTTAATTTGTTTATTTATTTTATTTTTTTATAAAAATGTGTTTTATTTTAATACAAGTCTATAAAAGTAGAAATCACATACAAAAATACAGATTACTCTGACATGTTGGCAAACTAGCTTATGGCTGGACTTGAGTTTGAAGTATAGGCACTGTTACTGGGGGCATCTGAAAGTCAATGTCCAGCCAGATCCTAGTTTATTTTTTTAAAAGAATTATTTATTTGAAAGGCAGATGGGGCTGGCACTGTGGCACAGCAGGTTAAAGCCCTTGCCTGAAGTGCCCGCATCCCATATGGGTGCTGGTTCTAGTCCCGGCTGCTCCTCTTCCAATATAGCTCTCTGCTATGGACTGGGAAAAAAGTAGAAAATGGCCTAAATCCTTGGGCCCCTGCACCCATGTGGGAGACCTGGAGGAAGCTCCTGGCTCCTGGCTTTGGATCGGCCTAGCTCTGGCTGTGCGGCCAACTGGAGAGTGAACCAGTGTATGCTGCAGTCTGGTCTCACCTTACTCTCCAAAGCTGGTACTGAGGTGCTCTGCACCTGGGGTCCTGAGCTGTGCACGTCCACACCCTCCATATACATCCACAGTGTCCCTCTTAATTGCTTGGAGTTTCCACAGCAGTTTTTTCTCTGCTCTTCCCTGACATTGCACACTCCCCACTTTTTGTAAGCTATCTTCCCCTAGACTAGAGCAGTAAGTTCCCTCCCTATTCTGTAATCTTGGAATCTCCCATAATTTCTTTATCTAGTCTTCAGTTACAGATGTATCATGGATTCCATATCTTGGGTATTGTGAATTGAGCTGGCATAAACATAGGGGTACAGATAACTCTTTCATGTGCTGATATCATTGCCCTTGGGTAAATTCCCAGGAGTGGGATGGCTGTGTCATATCTGCATAGAATCAGGTTTCTGTGGTATCTCCATACTGTCTTTCTCAGCGGCCGGTTTATAATCCCACCAACAGTGGATTAAGGTACCTTTTCCCCCACATCCTTGCAAGCATTTGTTGTTTATTTCTATATGAAAGCCATTCTAATGGGGGGTGGGTGGGTGAGGTGAAACCTCATTGTGATTTTGATTTGCATTTCCTTTGATGGCTAGTGATCCCGAGCATTTTTTCAAGTGTCTGTTGGCCATTTGAATATCCTCTTATAAAAAATGCCTGTTAAAGTCTTCTGCTCATATTAATGGCATTGTTTATTTTGTCATTATTCTCTAATCTCTTTATATATTCTGGATATTAATCCTTTATCAGTTGAATAGTTCGCAAATACTTTTTCCCATTCTGTTGGTTGCTTCTTCACTTTGCTGAGTGTTTCTTGTGCAGTACAGAAGCTTCCAAGTTGGATGTAATCCCACTTGTTAATTTTGACTGTCTGTGCCTATGCCAATGTCTTGTAGGGTTTTCCCAATGTTCTCTAAAGCTTGATGGTATTGGGTCAGAGATCTGTACTCCGTTTTGAGTGGCTTTTTGTTCTTCAATTTGTTAATGTTGACCCATCCCTGCGTACCAGGGATAAATCCAGCTTGGTCCAGGTCCGTGAGTTTTCTGATGTTTTATTGGATTTTCCTACTTTGTGCTCCTCTTCTTCCTCTTCCAGAATGAAGCCTCCTCCTGTGTCAGTTATTTTGGGGGCTTTTACATTAGCCACGCCTCTGGTAGCTGTGCCCGCTGTCGCGGGGTAGGGCTGGGCTGACAGCGGGGCCTGGTGCAGCAGAAGCGCCCGCTGCCGCTTCTGCTCGATGCTCGCCGGCACCGAAGCAGGCAGCTCCGCGGGTTGTTCGGAAGTCGCCGGCTTCGGCGAGGAGCCCTCTGCTGCCGCCACTGTCGGCCTACTCGGAGGACCCATAAAGTTTCCTTTAGCACTGCTTTTGCTGTATCCTGTAAGTTTGGATGTTACATTGTTGTTCTCATTCGTTTCCAGACGTTTTTTCATTTCTCTTGATTTCTGGAATGACCCAGTGTTCATTCAGGTGCACGTTGTTCTACTCCATGTGTTTACATACGTTCTAGACATTCGGAGTTGTTGAATCCCAGGTTGATTCCACTGTGGTCAGAGAAGAGGCATGGCCTGATTTTGGTTTTTTGAATTTGCCTGGACCTTATGTTGTAGCATGTGGTCTATGGTAGAGCAAGTTCCTTGCACTGGTGAGAAGCGTGCAACTGCAACTGTTGGATGAAATGTTCTGTAGGTATCTGTTAGGTCCATTTGGTCTGTAGTGACAATTAACTGTTTCCCTGCTGATTTTCTGTCGGTTTGATCTGTCCGTTGCTGAAAGTGGGGTATTGAAGTTCCCCATTGCTGTTGTATTGGAGTCTGTGTCTCTCTTTAAATCCATTAACATTTCTTTTCAATAGGCAATTACCCTGTAATTTATTGTGCATAATTTTATTAGTCACAATTACTAGATTTTCTGCCTTCCCATTCTTTTGTAATGATACCTTTCTCTACTTCTGTGTGTAGCGTGTCCTTATGTATCATTTGTTAGGCTGGGCAAGTGATGGCAAATTCTTTCAAGTTAAATTGTTTGTCTTTATTTCATTTTCATTTGTAGAAGAGGATTTTTTTAAAAAGATTTATTTTATTTATTTCAAAGACAGAAGTACAGAGAGGTAAAGACAGACAGAGAGAGGTCTTCCAGCTGCTGGTTCACTCCCCAGATGGCCACAACGGCGGAGCTGCACCAATCCGAAGTCAGGAGCCAGGAGCCTCCTCCGGGTCTCACATGTGGATGCAGGGGCCCAAAGGCTTGGACCATCTTCGTGCCTTCCCAGGACAAAGCAGAGAGCTGGACAGGAAGAGGAGCAGCCGGGACCAGAACCGGCGCCCACATGGGATGCTGGCGCCTCAGGTCAGGGCATTAACCCGCTGAGCCACAGCACCAGCCCCTGTAGAAGAGGATTTTGCTGGGTACTGTGTTATGGGTTAACAGTTTCGGGTTTTTTTTTTTTTTTTTCACTTATAGTAGATCTTCATTCTCTCCTAGCCAGTAGGGTTTCTGATGAGAAAAACCTGTTGTCATTCTAATTAGGAATTTTTTTAAAAGATAATCTGGTATTTGTCTCTTGCACATTTTAGGATTTTTAAAGTTTTACTTTCGAATGTTTGACTAATATGTTATGAAAATATTTTCTGATTCTTTTGGGGTCTTGTATTTGGATTCCATATATTTCTCCAAATTAAGGAAATTTTCTGCTATTGTATCACTGAATAAGTCTTTTACACCATTTTGTTTTTCCATTCCTCCAGGAACTACTAGAATTTTTCTACTATTATTTCACTGAATAGGTATTCTAATCCAGTCTCTCCTTTCAAACTTTCAGAGACCCATATGTTATATCATTTGATAGTGTTCGAGATCTGTGGAATACTGTTAGCAGTATTGCTAATTCTTTTTTTTTTTTTTTTTTTTTGGTCTGACTGAGATATTTCCAAAGATTGGTCTTCTAGTCACACATTCTTTTTATTTATTTATTTGACAGGTAGAGTTAAGGACAGTGAGAGAGAGAGCCATGGAGAGAAAGGTCTTCCTTCCGTGGTTCACTCCCCTAATGGACGTTACGGCCGAGTCACATATTCTTTCTTCTGCATCACCAGGTCTGTAAGTCTTTCCACTGTATTTTGTATTTGGGAGGCAGGCAGTGTGCTCTCTGTGCATGGGGCCCGGGGCTAGGTGCGCACTCTGCCTCCCGCCTGTGCTGCAGGCTGGAGTCAAGCGTGGTCTGCAAGGTTCTCTCTGGGGCAGTATCAGCAGTGCCAGGGGTTGCCGCAGGCTCCTTTCATTTCTCAGAAGCTGGCGTCTCCTCCTGACTGCTGCATGTATGGTGCTCTGTGGGAGTGGGGGAGGGGAAGGGAGCAGGGGACTCCCTGCTCCACGCCTGGCAGGGCTGGGACCCAGTCAGCTCCCCAGGCTGCAGTCCATGTCAGGGGTGACTGTGGAATTCCTCTCAGCTGAAACTGAGCGCTGGGGAGTGCACACTCTCTTCCCACCTTGACTTGGTAAGATGGTGGCTCAGAGCTGGCAAGCTGGCTGTGCTGCACGGCTTGCTGCAGCAGTGTCTGTCTCCTCTTGTCCCGGGGAATCTTCACTGTGTTGTCACTTCTCTGCAGAAAATTTCCACCAGGCAGGCCCCTGGACATGTCCTTCCTTTGTTCTTATCCCACGCTAAAGTCAGTGTGGATCGACCCTGTTGAGTCATCTGGGATCTCCCACCTCTGTGTTCCTTTTGGTTCCTGGTCTGTGAAAGGAATAATAATAATAATAATAGTAACATGACCTCATGGAGTTGTTGTGGATGAAAATGTGTTGGCTGTGTATATGTAATGAGTTAATCTATGTGGGATACTTTGAACAGTTCCTAATGCACAGGGTATGTTTAGTAAGTGGAGCAGCCAGGACTAGAACAGGCATCCATATGGGATGCCGGCGCCTCAGGCAGAAGATTAACCTACTGCATCACAGTAGGTGATGAGTAACATCCATGGAAAGGGTATGCAGGGTGGATAGCCTGGCTACTGCTCATGGGGCACACTGCCCACTCTTGCTCTCTGTGGGTGCCCAAATCTGCTGAGTGCTGCCTTCCCCAAGAGTCTTCTGCGTTCACTTCAATCACTTTTGTGTTTCCTTTCTGGTTGTACTTTAGTCAGCTCTTTGATCCCTGAAACAGACTCTCAGGCAGAAAGGCAGAGGAGACTTTAAGCAGTGTTCTGGAACATGTACCTGATGGCACAGGGGAGGCTGCCATTGAACTGGAACCTCTGTTGGTATCCCAGACACTCTGGCAGCAATGGCCTTTGACATTGTCTCATACTGAAGCAAAGGGGCTGGGTCTTGGGGCTGCATCATATAGTTATTGGCTCTGTGCCACCTCCATAGAGGGCTTGTGAGCTTGGACCACAGAGATCCCTTGAGGGAGTGGAGTCCAGTAAAGGGCCCAGCATGAGCTTCCAACAGCCCATGTCCTCAGCATCTGGGCAAGGGAGGCATCAGCTCTGCAGTGGGGACCTGAGTGGAGTAAGTGGTGTTCACTGTGCTTAATTTAATTCATTCCTACTTAACGTGTCAGTGAATGTAAAAAGAAAAAGTCATTCCAATAAAGATGAAGTTAGGTGTCTTGGAAAGACTCACTAAAGTGAACTAATGGCTAAGGAACATGTAGCTAAAAACATTGTGCATAGGCAACTACAAACAACCAGGGAACAAATGGAAATGTCGGAAAGGACTTCTACTCACATTTTTATGATTATCTTTAATACTTGTTCCATTGGTCAGATTTGACATTTGTGTGCTGTAGTTGATTCACGTGCTTGTGGTTTATAATGAAGGATACCACGGAACTGTGCTCACCTAGCTCATGAAAAGATTGAAGATAAATGTGTGTGTTTTATTTTATATTACATATATGCAAATCGTTTGAATCATAATTTTCCTCTTTCCCAAACCTTTTATTTTCCACCCTGTGAATACAGTTCTGCAAGGACTTTTACAAGTTTCCAAGCCAGCTCAGTAAATCTACAAATCACATTTTCACTGATCAAATTACAGATGACTGTGTGGAACTGCTGGGGGGACCTGCCTACTCCCCCAGATTCCTAGAATGTGATGTCATTATGCACGGGTGAACCTCCTCTTCATCTGTGACCATGAACTTGGTGTTTCTGGAACATGGCTCGTGTAGACTGTCTCGTCTGCTTCTGCCTGGGACATGGTTCCAGGGGCAACTGGATGGTGTCCTTGTCTGGGCAACAAGGTGCAGAGCTGAGGTGCACTGTGCTCACACCACTGGATAGACACTTTCTGTCTTCACAGCTCTGTGCTTCCCTGCTCAGCAGGTGCACCGATTTTGTCACGGTCTAAGGCTGTCTCCCTCTCCCCTCCTGATCTTCTTTGATTTAAGGGTAAAGTTTTTTTTTTTTTTAATTTACTAACTCATTTATTCATTCAACGGAGTCTCTGACAGCTGGGTTCAAGTATGGGTGCAGGTGTTTGGGCTTCTGTAGTGATCAAAACAGATGCAGTTGGCAGCCTTCTGGAGTTTCTGTTAAGTGGGTGGGAAGGGGAGATGAGGCATTGCTGAGAAGGGTTGGTTATGCTCCTCCTCGTGCACAAATGCTGTGGCACAGACCAGGGCTGAGCACTTGCACCCACTTTTTTGTTGGGGTTGGTGTTAGAGACAGTAGTAGATGGAATAAAACACACCTTCCCCTGTCCCTGTCTTCCCTGTAAAGAATGGCTGTTGCTTCTTATAGCAGAAGGATTTTTGCAGATGTGATTAAATTAATGGTCTTTTTATAAATTTTATTACCTTAAAAATTTTAATATAAAAAGAACATATTTTGGGCCAGCACTGTGGCTCAGCAGGTGTTAACACCCTGGCCTGAAGCACTGGCATCCCATATGGGCACCGGTTCTAGTCCCAGCTTCTCTGCTTCTGATCTAGCCCCCTGCTATGGCCTGGGAAGGCAGTAGAAGATGGCTCAAGTCCTTGGGCCCCTGCACCCATGTGGGAGACCCAGAGGAAGCTCCTGGCTTTGGTCTGGCCTCTCCTCTCTCTGTGTAACTCTTTCAAATAAAATAAATCTAAAAAAAACCAAACCAGATTTCATGTATTTCAGAGGTACAATTCTAAGAAGATAAGCATACTTCCTCCGCTTCTTCCCTCAACCCCCCTCCTTCTTTCCAGTCTTTAAAATTTTTTTTGCAAAAACATAATTTCAGTCTACTCTATAATCACAGGCTTAATGCACCATTAATCATAATATTCAATAAGTAAAAAGTGTAAAGGCTACCGTTCCATAGGAGAATAAACTAAGGCTAAGACAATCAAACACAAAGTGTCCTTTTTTTCCTATACATTTTTTTTGGTATTCTTTCTATATTAACTACCACATACCAGAGAAAACATAGGGTATTTGTCTTTTTGGGACTAAAAATATGGTGACATTCTTCAATGTTGTGGAAGGTCTTTATTTCACCCTCATTCATAAATGAGAGCTTTGCTGGGTATAGTATTCTGGTTTGAGTTTTTTTTCTCTTAGGACTTGGAATATATCTCGTCATTCTCTCTTAGCCTGTAGGATTTCTTAAGGCTAATTGGAGATCCTCTGAAAGTAATATGGCAATTCTCTTGTGCATATTTTAGAACTTTGTCTTTGTTTTACTGTGGAGAGCTTGACTATAATGTGTCGTGGTGAAGATCTTTTATGGTCATGTCTGTTAGGAGTTCTGTTTGCTTCCTGTACTTGGATGTCCCTTCTTTCTCTTGGTAGCATCCCATAAATCTAACACTATTTTTTAGTTTTTAATTTCTTCTTCCTTTTTTTGGTCTGACTGTAAAATTTCTAGAGATTTGTCTTCTAACTTGGATATTCTTTTTTCTGCCTCACTAAGTCTGTTGTTAAGGCTTTCTGCCACATTTTTTATTTGTCTATTGAATTCTTCATTTCCAATATTTCATTTTAATTTCTTTTTAAAATCTCAAGTTTGTGGGATAAACTTTCATTCGGGTCATGTATGGATTTCTTTAGTTCATGAATTTGCTTTTGATTACTTCTAGGTAATCCTGTGATCAACTTTTTGAAATCCATATCTGGAATTGCATCAATCTCTTCATCTTCACATTCTAGTATTGAAGTGTTGTGTTCTTTTGGGGGCATCATGTTGTCTTCCTTATTCTTGTTTCTTGAATTGCTGCATTTATTGTTAAGTGTCTATGGTGATACTTGTTCTCCCCACCCCCCCACTGGCTTTTATGTTTGGACTATGCCTCCATGGCTTAGTGGAGTGTCTGCTCTTTCAGTGAATACCCAGAGGCGTGTGTCAAAAATCAAATTTAACAGATTTTTTTTTTTGAGGAACAAAATACCAAAATTTTAGGTAGAGGTAGGATTGACATTCCTGATTTGCCTCTTCCATTTTTTGTAGTTAATATTTTTTAAAATTTTACCTTAGGTGTACAAATTAATGTATTTCATATGTACAGATTTAGGAACTTAGTCATACTTTCCTCCCACTCCTCCCTCCCACTCATGCTTCCACCCTTCCTCAACCTTCCTTTCCTGGTCCTACTCTTAATTTTTACAATGATTTGCTTTTACTCTATACTGATAGGATTAACCCTACACTAAGTAAAGAGTTCAACAAATAATAAGAAAAAACCCTGTTCCTTAACAGTAGAGACAAGGGCTGTAAATAATCATCTAATCTCAAAATGTCCATTTCACTCCAGTACATTATGTTTTAGGTACTCTATTAATTATCCCTTATCAGGGAAAACATATGATGTCTGTCTTTTTGTGACTGGCTTATTTCATTAAATATAATTATTTCCAGTTGCATCCATTTTGTTGCAAAAGACAGGATTTCTTTTTTTTTTTCCTTTACAGAGGTGTAGTACTCCATAGTGTATGAACACCACGATAATTTCTTTAGTCACCAGTTGATGGACATCTAGGTTGATTCCATATCTTAGCTATTGTGAACTGAGCTGCTATAAACATGAGGGTACAGATAACTCTTTCATATGCTGATTTATTTTGGTTTGGGTAAACTCCCAGGAGTGGGATGGCTAGGTCATATGGTAGGTCTATATTCAGATTTCTGAGGTATCTCCATACTGTTTTCCACAGTGAGCTGCACCAGTTTACATTTCCACCAACAGTAGATTAGTTACCATTAGGGTACCTCACCAGCATTTATTGTTTGACTTCTGTATGAGAGCCATTCTAACTAGGGTGAGATAAAACCTCATTGTGATTTTGATTTGCATTTCTTTGAAGGCCAGTGATCCTGAGCGTTTTTTCAACTGTCTGTTGGCCATTTGAATTTTCTTTTGAAAAATGTCTGTTTAAATCCTTTGTCCATTTCTTAACTGGATTGCTTGTTTTGCTGTTGTTGAATTTGAGTTCTTTACAGATCCTGGATATTAATCCCTTGTCAGTTGCATTGTTTGCAAATATTTTTTCCCATTCTGTCAGTTGCCCCTTCATTTTGCTGAGTGTTTGTTTTGCAGTGCAGAACTTTTTCAGGTTAATGTAATCCCATTTGTCTATTTTTGCTGTGGTTGCCTATGCTTCTGCAGTTCTTTTTCAAGAAGCCCTTGCCTATGCCAATGTCCTTCAGAGTTTTCCTGTAGTAATTTGATGGTATTAGATAATATTTTGGTCCTTGATCCATTTTGAGTTGATTTTTGTATAAGGTGTAAGGTAGGGGTCTTATTTCACATCTCTGCATGCAGAGATCCATTTTATTTTTTTTAATTTATATTTTATTTTATTTTATTTAATGAACATAAATTTCCAAAGTACAGCTTATGGATTATAATAGCTCCCCCCCCTTAACTTCCCTCCCACCCACAACATTTCCTCTCCCACTCCCTCTCCCCTTCCATTCACATCAAGATTAATTTTCAATTATCTTTATATACAGAAGATCAATTTAACATATATTAAGTAAAGATTTCAACAGTTTGCACCCACACAGAAACACAAAGTGTAAAATACTATATGAGTACTAGTTACAGCATTAATTAAACACCTAAGAGTAATTGTGTATTAATTACAGAGTTCAACCAATAGTTTTAAGTAGAACATAAAAAATACTAAAAGGGTAAAGTATTAAGTTCTTTTTTTTTCTGTTTCTTTTTTGTTTGTTATATAGTTATTTTTTTATTTAATAAATGTGAATTTACAAAGTACAGCTTTTGTATTGTTGTGGCTTCCCCCTCCAACCTCCCTCCCTCCCGTGGCCCTCCCCTCTCCCACTCCCTCTCCCATTCCGCCCTTCATTGAGTTTCATTTTCAATTACCTTCATATACTGAAGATCAACTTAGTATATACTAAGCAAGGATTTCAACAGGCTGTACTCACACAACCGCACAAGGTATAGGGTATTGTTCGACTAGTAGTGTTGTTTTTGAGTTTCATAGTAAAACACATTAAGGACAGACAGGCCTAGCATATGGTCAATCCTAGAGTATGTTTCATGTACTGGGGAGAAATACGTGAAATCTGTGGCTGTGGGGTGGAAGACTCTGAAGATATCTACGAGGTCTATTTGGTCTATAGCGTCAGTTAGCTCTGTTGTTTCCTTGTTGGTTTTCTGTCTGGTTGATCTGTCCATTCGTGAGAGTGGGGTGAAGTCCCCTGTTACTACTGTATTTGAGTCTATATCTCCCTTTAAGTCCTTTAGCAATTCTTTCAGGTAGCCAGGTGCCTTGTAATTGGGTGCATATACATTTGATCTTAGCCAAAAGGCTAATGTCTTCATGTTGGATTAATCCTTTAATCATTATATAATGCCCTTCTTTGTCTCTCTTAATAGTTTTTGTGTTAAAGTCTATTTTGTCTGATATTAGGATGGCCACACCAGCTCTTTTTTTATTTCTGTTTGCTTGGAATATCTTTTTCCATCCTTTCACTTTCAGTCTGCATGCATCTTTGCTGATAAGGTGTGTTTCCTGAAGTCAGCATATAGATGGATTCTCTTTTTGGATCCAATCAGCTAGTCTGTGTCTCTGGTTGTAGAGTTGAGGCCATTTACATTCAGTGTGACTATTGTTAAATACTGTTTTTTCCAGTCATGTTTCCTTAAACGAGCTGTTTATGTATTTTAAGATTTGTTTGTATTTTAGTTGGGTCATTTTCTACATTCGCCTTTTTTGTAGTGAAGTTCTTGTTTTTGTATTTCTGTGTGCAGCACATCTTTGAACCAGTGTTGTAAGGTTGGACGCGAGGATACAAATTCTTTCACTTTCTGTTTGTCGTGGAAGATCTTTATTTCCCCTTCATTCATAAATAATAGCTTTGCGGGGTATAGTATTCTAGGTTGGCATTGTTTGTCTTTTAAAACTTGGAATATATCATGCCACTGTCTCCTTGCCTGTAGTGTTTGCGATGAGAAGTCTGGGGTGAGTCTGATTAAATTACCCCTGAATGTGATTTGTCGTTTCTCTCTGGCACACTGTAGGATTTGTTCTTTGTGTTTCACTGAGCTGAGTGTTGCCACAATGTGTCGTGATGAATTTCTCTTCTGGTCTAATTTGTTGGGGCTCCTGAGTATTTGTTGAATTTGGTTGTTTCTATCAATCTGCCTCTGTTGGAAGTTTTCTGATATTATTTCATTGAAAACGCCTTCCAATCCATTCTCTCTTTCCACACCCTCAGAGACTCCTATTATCGGACATTACAATGCTTGATTGAATCTCGTAGGTCTCCAATTGTATTTTCTAATTTCTTCTTCCTGTGTTTGATCTGACTGTATTATTTTTGGAAGTTTGTCTTCGAGTTCTGATATTTGCTCTTCTATTTCATCTGTTCGATTTTTGAGGGGTTCCACAGTGTTTTTTATATAATCAATTGAGTTGTTCATTTCCATTATTTCATTCTGGCTTCTCTTTAGGATCTCTAATCTTTGGGCATGCTTTTTGTTCAGATCTTGAATCTGTTTCTCATTACTTCTAAGTAATCTGATTATTAATTTTCGGAATTCCTTTTCTGGCATGACTTCAAATTCTTCTTCAGCCTCTATTGTGGATGGTTTAGCCTTCTCCATTGGCGAGTTCATAGGTTCTTCTATATTCTTATACTGAATTTTCCCTTTGTTCTCCAGAATTTCTGATTGGCTTAATTTTCAGCTTGATTTCCCTCTGCTATGGGCTGCTATGGGTCTGTACAGATAGCCGGTGTAAGCAGGCAGTTCTGCCTTCTAGTGTTTATTTCTGGTAACTTGAGTAGGCTGGTGCCAGGGCTTCGAGGTGCCAAGCTCCGCCCCTTGGGGCCAGTTTCCCTGTACCTTTGTTTGCCCTAAAGTGCCTGGGCCTCTGTTGATCAGCCCCCATCACTGCGCCCCCTGTGCCACGAGTGGGGAGTTGCTTCAAACCTCTGAGGTCCCCGCCACTGAAGTTCCCTTGTTCAGAAGGCGAAAGCAGAGCCCGCACTCTTTCATGCACAAATGTAAACAAACAAGATGGCTGCTCTCTGCCTGCTGCAGCTCTGATTAGGGTGGGGGAGACACCGAGGGATCTTGGCGTGTTCAGTCTCTCAGTTCGTCCCCCTGGATTGCACCCTCTTCCCGTGGGTGCTATTCACTTTGTTTTGATTTCCTTTCCCACTCAACCTTGTGCGTGTGTCCATCCCAGGGTGGGTAGGAGGAGGTGGCAGTAGAAGCCACTACAGTCGTCCCTCCACTGGTTCCTTTTTTTTTCTTTCATTCTCTTTCTGCAGTTCTGGGCACTTCTACCTGCCCCAGGGTGGACCCCTACACTCTGGCATGCTCCCGTATCACTCTAGCCAACCTTTTGTGGTTCCGTCACCTGACTGTCCCCTCTATTCATCAATTTCTCTCTGTGTGACTCTGCACACCTTGCTGATATACCGCCATCTTGACCCCCCATGAGTCTTTTTAATTCTGTGATATCCCTTGTTATATTTTCTTTTTCATTTTTGATTTTTTTTTTACAAAAGATTTATTTCTTTGAAAGGCAGAGTTACACAGAGTGAGGAGAGGCAGAAAGAGAGAGAGAGAGAGAGAGAGAGAGAGAGAGACTGACTTCCATCCACTAGTTCAGTCCCCTATTGGCCGCAATGGCTGGAACTGTGCCTATCTGAAACCAGGAGCCAGAAGCTTCTTCCGGGTCTCCCATGTGGGTGCAGGGGCCCAAGGACTTGGGTCATCTTCTGCTATCCCAGGCAATAGCAGAAAGCTGGATGAGAAGTGGAGCAGCTGAGTCTTGAAATGGCGCCCATATGGCATGCCAGCACTTCAGGCCAGGGTGTTAACCCACTGCGCCACAGCATTGGTCCCTCATTTTGATTTTATTAATTTGGGTTTTCTCCCTTGGGTTTTTTTTTTTTTTTTTGGTTTGTTGGGTCAATGGTACATAAATTTTATTTTTTCAAAAAACTAGCTCTTCATTTCACTGATACTTTGTATTTTTTTGTTTCAATTTTGTTCTTCTCTAATTTTAACTATTTCTTTCTTCCTACTCATTTTGGGTTTGGTTTGTTGTTGTTTGGCTTTCAATTGTTGTTTTTCTAGATCATTGATACGTACTGGCAGCTCATTTATTTGGTGCCTTTCCAGTTTCTTGATGTAAGTACCGATTGTTGTTTTTTTAAAGATTTATTTTATTTGAAAGAGTTACACAGAGAGGAGAGGCAGAGAGAGAGAGAGAGGTCTTCCATCCATTAGTTCACTCCCCAGATGGCTGCAATGGCTAGAGCTGTGCTGATCTGAAGCAGAAGCCAGGAACTTCTCCCAGGTGTCCCACCCAGGTGCAGGGGCCCAAGGACTTGGGCTATCTTCTTCTGCTTTCCCAGGCCATAGCAGAAAGCTGAATTGGAAGAGGAGCAGCTGGGACTAGAACCGGCACCCATATGGGATGCTGGCATTTCAGGCCAGGGCTTTAACCCACTGTGCCACAGCACCTTCCCTGGCACAAATTGTTATAAACTTTCCTCGTAACACTTCTTTTGCTGTATCCCGTAAGTTTTGATATGTTGTATTGTTATCTTTATTCATTTCTAGAAATTTTTTGATTTCCCTTTTGATTTTTTCTGTGACCCAGTTTTCATTCAGGAACATGTTGTTCAGTCTCCATGTGTTTGCATATGTCCTCAAGATTCTTGAGCTGTTAATTTCAGACTTCATTCCATTGTGGTCAGAAAAGATGCATGGGTAAGGCCGGTGCCACGGCTCAGCTCACTTGGCTAATCCTATGCCTGTAGCACCGGCACCCCAGGTTCTGGTCCCAGTTGGGGTGCTGGATTCTGTCCCGGTTGCCCCTCTTCCAGTCCAGCTCTCTGCTGTGGCCTGGGAAGGCAGTGGAGGATGGCCCAAGTGCTTGGGCCCTGCACCCGCATGGGAGACCATGAGGAAGCACCTGGCTCCTGGCTTCAGATTGGTGCAGTGTACCGGCTGTAGCGGCCATTTGGGGGCTGAAACAAGGGAAAAGGAAGACCTTTGCCTCTCTCTCTCTCTCCCTCACTGTTTAACTCTGCCTGTCAAAAAAAAAAAAAAAAAAAAAAAAAAAGAAGAAGCACAGTAAGATTTCAATTTTTTTTTTGAATTTGCTGACAGTAGCTTTATGGCCTAGCATATGGTGTATCCTAGCAAAAGTCCCATGTACTGATGAAAAAATGTATATTCTGCAACTGTGGGATGAAAAGTTCTGTAGATATCAGTTAGGTCCATTTGGTCCATAGTGTGGCATTACTCTGCTTCTTTGTTGAGTTTCTGTCTAGTTGAACAGTCTATTGTTGAAAGTGGGGTGTTACATTCCTCCATTACTGTTGTATTAGAGTCTGTGTCTCCCTTTAGATCTATTAACATTTGTTTGAA